CTCATTCTTAAACTGAGGGCTACCTGTGCTGCAAAATTATCTCCTGTAATCTTCCAGTTATAACATAATTTTACCAGCAATGAGTAAACGTTTTTAAACCATCTTGAGTTCCATTTGAGAAGACAGATACATTTAAAAGATTTCCTTACGGCATATTTCTCCATGCTAAAATATAATTAAGCAAAAATAATTTAAAACATCTATTATAAGGAAATAGAGCACACACTGCTACCTCTTTTACTCTAGACACAGTTGCTTACCCTAAGAGTTCTCTTTCAGTAGGGATGCTCTTTTCTGAATGGAAGAGTTGAGGGTGCTGCTTCAAGAAAGATGAGAGGAAACAGTCTACCCATTCAGGGGCTGCCACTTTGTCAGAGCTGACAGATACATCAGCAATTTCCACCTGCATGGGCTTTAAGAAGGCTCAGCACATAGTTTGTGTTCCTTGGGCCCTCTCCTTGCTTCCTCCATCACTATACAAGTAGTCCTCACTTACCAACCACAATTGGGACCAGCAAATCCATTGCTAAGTGCCGTGGTCACTAAGTGAAAAATCACATGACTGCGCTGGACTTACAGTGTCACTTCTGCTTTTGTTATTAAGTGAATGCATTAAGTGAGGTCATCATGTGACTGTGACTTGCAATTTCACTGCCAGCTTCTCCATTGACTCTGCTTGTGGGAAGCGGCTTGTGAAGCACGAAAATGGTGATCGCATGACTGCAGGACACTGCAGCAACTGTCATAAACACCCGCTGGTGGCAAAGCACCCCAATGTTGATCACGTGACCATGGGGAGACTGCAACAGCCATAAATGCGAGGATTGATCAAAAAGCTGTTTTTTCCCCCACCATTGTAATTTTGAACAGTCACTAAACAAGGCAGTCAGTAAGTGAGGACTACCTATAGTCAGTTACTCCTTCATAGAACGGCAAGACAGTTTTGAAAAATGGAAAAACCTAAGCTATGGAATGTTCTGATTAGAGTACGTGTGTGATGCCTTAGTGTTTGGAAGAGGAGCTAATTGAAATATGTTACAAATCTTCCTTTCTAGCTTTTATTCTGATCCAGATTCCGAGCAGCCTTGCAGAATCTTTTTGTTCTGAATATTCAGACCAGATGGAAGTACTATTGGTAGGAGGGAAGTGCAGTCTAGATAGAGCAGTCAGTTTGTTCTAGATGTAGTTATGCGCTCTCTGAAGAGTAAATTACTTCATATGGGATCATTCTCAGTTTATCACCTTAAGAACCAAATGAAGGTTATAATGAGAGTTTTTGCCCAGCTTCATCTAGTATGCCAGCAGGAGCCTTTTCTATACATTCTTGCTGCAGTTACTAGATCCTCCAGCCATTTCAAAATTAGATTACTGTAAGATGCTTGATGTGAGCCTGTTCTTGATAGCAGTCCAGAAGTTTCAGCTGATTTTATTTATTTATTTGTTTGTTTGTTTGTTAAATTTATATGCCGCCCATCTACCCCGGAGGGTGACTCTGGGCGGCTCACAGTTAAAATCAATCATTAAAAACAGTAAAAAATATAATATCCACATTAAATTAGCTTTAAAAAATCATACTATATAAAAAGATTGTATACATAAAAAGACTATAAAATTCAAGATGATGGGGGGCAGAATCAATTACCCCACGAACCAATTCCAACAATGCGAGCCCCCATCAGGCCCCCAGGCCATCTGGCGTAGCCAAGATTTCACACTGTTCCTGAAGGCCAATATAGAATTGCTGTCCAAAGTCCATTTAAAACATTTACTCTTAGGCCCAATTTGAGGCCTTTGTAAATACAGCTTTTAAACATGGCAAATAATTGGAGGCCAAACTATTTGAAGGGCAGTCTCTTTTGAGAGTATTGGGGAAAGGCAACATATGTCCTATTTCCTTCAGAAATATTGAGGTTGGAAATATAGGGCCTCTTCAACTCTGGGATATTCAGGAGGTATTAAAATAACTCCATAAAGAAAACTATTGGTTCCTTTTTACTGATACAGATGTGTGTGTGCTCTTTCTTCAGGCAGAGAATGAATTTACCATGCATGTATGATCAATGCAAACGTTTGCTGATGGTTACTAATGAGTTAGCACGGCTTCAGGTTTCCTATGAAGAATATCTCTGCATGAAAACATTGCTCCTTCTCTCTACAAGTAAGTGATTCTGCTCTTATTGCTTTTTTGTGCCAACGTATATAATATAGTTGATATTGCTGATACAGATTGTTATATTACACAAACATTTTCAAAATAAGTGATCTGAGATGTCTACTGCATTTAAAGGAGACCAGCTTGCTAACTAAATGTTTTGGACTCCACTCCCATTTTCCTAACCAGAGGTCAGGGATAAGAGGAAGGCCAGCAGTTTCTTAATGAATCTAAGTTCCCCATTCCTTTTGTAAATAAATGCATGATTGAATTGAACCTGACAATAAATCTGCCCCATCATGAGACTGGTTTGTTAAGATTCTAAGAGGTTAATTTTTCAAAATACAGTAGAAACATAGATGACTTGTCCATGAAAGAAAGGGAAAAAATGAGAACAAGTACCTATATTGTGGAAACAGATGGCTGCAAAGTATTTAATGGTTTTCTTCAGACAGAGGATGAATCTACTATGCATGTACCATCAGTGCACTTGTTTGCAGATGATTACTAATGAGTTAGCACAGGTCAGGGCTTTGTTTCTACTGTATTGGTTCACTGTGAATGTAAAAAGGTAACAAGTAATTGAATATTCTGTCATCTTATTCCAGTTCCTAAGGAGGGCTTGAGGAGTCAGGCTCTCTTTGATGAAATTCGTATGACATACATAAAAGAGTTGGGGAAAGCCATAGTGAAGAGAGAAGGAAACTCTAGTCAGAACTGGCAACGATTTTATCAACTGACAAAACTTTTGGACTCCATGCATGATGTAAGATTTTTTGTACTTACATGTTTCTGTGTAGTTAATAAAAATGTGGAGAGAATTAGTTCACTAAGAAGGTTGATTTAATGGGAAAATCTAAACCAGGTAAAATGTATCTGCATTGATGTTTAAATTATTTGAAGGAAGAATAAGTCGTAGTCTTATTATTCTGTTTTAATTGTTTCAGTGAGTATAAAAAAATAATTAAAATGCACAGCATTAGTAAATGTAGCATGCTTATAATAATCTACATTTTATAGATATCTGCTATTGTAATCCTTGTTGAAGAGAAGTTCTCTGCTTGGAAGTTGAACACAAGCTGCAGACTATTCAAATATATATATTCAGATTGCATGTTGTTCTGCCTCTCAACTTAATAAGCTTGGATCTGTTAGAAATACACATTTCTTGAATCTTCTTATGACCGTTACATTGAACTGAATTTACTGTATTATCTTTGGTCATTTGTATGCCAAATCAAGAGGAAATTGGTGTAAAGAAAGGTGGCCTGATGATTACAGTTCTTTCCTTGGCACTCCATCTAAGTCAGTGCATGACTATTTTCTGGAAATGTTGCAAAATTTACAATTTTGAAATTTTGTAATAACCAGACTTTATATAGTGTTACATAGTCTTTGGGAGAGGTGTCTTTCTGGTGAGGAAGTCTCTCATGGACTGGTAAGGTTTTTACAACTGGTAAGATTTCTAATGGTATATGTTCATTTTATACCTAGGCTTATCTTTTTGTGCTTAAAAAAAATCAGTGAAATTTAGAAACAGACAACCTTGTAGCATGTCACATTTTCCTGAGCTGGAATGCACAGCATCACACACACATACATCCTTCCAGACGTGCTCAGTAGGGATGCTAAAAATTGAGGTTTCACAACATCAGGAGTGCTACAGATTGCCTTTGGATAAATATGCACTTACGTGTTCTTCCAACAGTGTTTCTCAGTCTTTTAATCTTTTCTTGTTCTGTTATCAATAATTCAAAACTAGGTCTTTAAATAGCCCCCCCCCCCCAGTTGATTGGATACCAGAGTTAAAGTTGATAGGCAAACCATGGGTTACACTGATTATTGTTGGCATGATACCTGAATAATATGCTTTGCCCTGTTCTGGATGTACTGCCCCTAGAGAATATGGAATGCAGAGTAGGTGGACAAGAAAGCAGACAAACAGGGCGAATCTATTCATTCCAAACTTCCCATAGTTAGTGGGCATTGTATTTGATTGGTGTGATAGTTGAATTGAGGCAGTGTTCTTTTATCACTTTATTTTGTACTGTAGTATAAATATATTTCATAATTGTGGCTCCTCTGTGTGTGTGTGTACCATCTTTCTCTTACATAAGCACTCAGGGCTTGCAAAACACTTTTGTGCTATTAAAGATGTAGTGGTAAAATATGTTTAAAATATTTCAGAGTACAGCAATATTTAAGAAAGTTGGCTTCATCCTTCCTTCTTATCATTTGCAGGTGGTTGAGAATCTTCTAACGTTTTGCTTCCAAACATTTTTGGATAAATCCATGAGCATTGAGTTTCCAGAAATGTTGGCAGAAATCATCAGCAATCAGTTACCAAAATATTCAAATGGGAATATCAAGAAGCTCCTATTTCATCAGAAGTGACTGCCTTAATACAGAAAGATTGCCTTAAGAAAAAAAAAAAGTCAAATTATAACTTTTTTTTATAAACTAAAAGACTTGTTAATTTTGTTCTTGTACCTATATTAGGTATTCTTGTTTTCGTTTTGTAATTATGCACTACATGTGGTTTACAGAGGGCCAAGATCTAGCTTTTAGAAGACACCTCAACTGAATGAATACAGGAAGAAAGAAAGAGAAAGAAGTATGGCTTGGAATTTTTCCTCTACATATACCATCATGCTGGCAGTATAGGATGCACCAAAAGCAGCATTGTCAAAGTTTGGAATCTGCATTGTCAACATTCTGCTAGGAGTTTCTGCAGTTGGCTGGTTAAAATTTTATAGATTTTTGTTTTGGTATAGATTGTTTTGTATAGTTCAAGTAGCATTTTTGATTTATGCATGTAACATGAAGAAAGTTTACAACTGTATATCAGAAAAGGGAAGTTGTGCCTTTTATAGCTATTACTGTCTGGTTTTAGCAATTTCCTTTAACTTTATATACAGTGAACTAGCTTGCTCATTTTTTCTTACATAATTTTTGTAAAACTTCAAGATGCCTATTGTACAGCTGTTTTTAAAGTGAGGCAGCTCATAGCTTAATGACCTCTAGATAATGATCTTCAAGTATAATCATATGAATATAAGGTGGCTTGTCTAATATGACTGTCCTAATAACCCTTCTAAATTTGGCCTATAATTCAGCCTTCTTCAGTGGGGAATGGGGATTGAAATGTATTCCAAATCTAACCTGAACACTGGAATTGCTTATTTTTTTGATATCAGTCATGCATGTTCTGTGAGCTACTAGAAAACTAGCTTTGTCTTAAACAAGTGTTTTGAACACAATTTTTTTTTAAAGCAGCCTAGATATTTGCATTTAATGCAATAGCCATAATTGTAAGAATCTTGGGCTGGATTGACATTAAAAATATCAGTCTTGATTGCCCATCAGGAAACTTTCAGGAAAATATGCATAGTTGTTTAAAAGTTTACTTATACATGGAGAAATTAACTTTTTCCATACACAATTATTGCCATATAAGTGTGTACTTCAGTGTGTATCAGTGTATATTATATATACAATGACCACAATCCGGAGCAGCTGTAATGTGCATAACAAAATCGAAGTGCACAGAAATTGGCATATCTGTTCTCCTTGGACACTCAGACGTAGCAGAGTCTGTGCTTAAAAAAAAAATTGAAAAATTGAAAAAACAGTATTGGTAACCAATAGATATTTTTCAGAACAAAGTGCAGATTTACCGCTATGGGGATCTCAGAATTCCTGGATTGTAGCTAGAGGGAAACCTCTTCCCTTGGATGTGATCAGAGCTGCTGGAAAGTAGGGTGAAAAGTTTCAGACTTAATATGTTGGGCAGTGTGTATCCAGTGGAGAGGTCCCCTAGAGTCTAAACCCCACCTGTTCTTGCAGTAGCTAAATTGACTCCATATAAAGCAGATCAGCAAACAGGAAAAAAGCCAGTTTCTGTTGATAGATTGCACACTGGATTGAGGGCAAATGTGTACAAACCTGACTCCATTTTAAGTTAGAAGTTGATGGCTACATTTCTCCGTGTGTGTATGGGTGTATACAC